CCTCAAACCCTCAGACCCCTAAAAATAACTGCTTTTTTTACAGTTTTCATCGAAAAAAAGCCGTAGACTAGAACCCCTTAACCCTCAAACCCTCAAATTTTTTTAAAGGTCCAACCCTCAAACCCTCTCCCAATCCTCAAAATTAAGGGTTGGGGAGTAAAACCTACCCCAACCCTCATTTGGCGGTTATCCTCGTGCGGAAGGGAAAAATTCTCCCAACTCCCGCGCCCACGCCCGCGACCGCCGCTGCTAGTCGCCCCGTCGCCGGCGGCCGCCTCGTCGACCTCCCGCGCGCAACGACAACGTCGTTCATGGGGAATATTCCGTTATAAGGGTTGGGTTTGAGGGTTCTAATCTTTGCCCCTGTTTTTCAACCCGTAAAAATGCACAAAAATATCATTTTTGGACCCTTAAAAAGCTAGTGAGGGTTTAAAGGTTCTACTAGTAATGCTCTTAACTTGCGCCCAATTTATGGCGCTGGGGGCCATAGCACTGGCCAGCGCTGTCCCGGACCGTGCGATCTCAAATCAGTGCGGTGGATTATTATGCTAGATCGTACTAGTACTACAAAAACCACGACACATCGTGTGCGCGATGGATGGGACAATACGATGCAGCAGCTGCCCAACTAACTAATCCTTCACATCAATTACCCTAAAAAAATTCCTTCACATCAATTCAATTCCGTGCAAAACCATGGCACGGCCAGATGCACGACAAGGAATAGAGAGACTGGACCGTTGGAGTGCGGCGCAATCTCGTACTCCCTCCGTTCTAAATATTTGTCTTTCTAGACATTTCAAATGACCACTACATACGAATGTATGTAGACATATTTTAGAGTGTAGATTCACTCATTTTGCTCCGTATGTAGTCACTTGTTGAAATGCCTAGAAAGACAAGTATTTAGAAACGGAGGGAGTAGAAAAGAAAAGAAAAACAGAATAACATTCAATACACACAAGCTGTACTTTTTTTACTTTATGTGCACACAAGCTGTAACTTGTGTCATGCGATTTGATGTCATTTGTGTTTCATCGTGCAGATTATTTTTCTAGTGTCACCTACAGTCGATTATTTGTGAGTGTATGGCCATGTGTGTGATCCTCTGCATTTGTACCGTGTTACTTAAAATAAAATAAATATTATTCTCAAGGCGGGAGGTGACATACACATTGATACTGACCTCGTTGTATCTCCCCTTGGACTCAATTAGTGATTTAGTCTTTATTAGAGACTTTGTGAGAAGGTATGTAGGGAAAATATCAGAAGATACCATCACTCAAGTGCTCTCATGATGCCAGTTTAAAAAAAAATCAATATTAGATGTGTCAAAAAATTAAAAAGAAATTATGAATGTTAATCACATATGTAATGTATCTACACCCCCCTAAAAAATTCAGATCAAAATCCTAAACACACAAAGAGAAAAGAAAAAAGAAATCCATATGTGAATACTATCATTTTGACAGTATTCATCATTTTGTCTTTGTTGACACTATTCATGTTGGATTTCTTTCTTTTTCTCTTTGTGTGTTTCAGGTTTTGATCTGAATATTTTTAGGGGGTTAGACATATGTGATGAACATTGATACAAAATTTCGCAATTTTTTGACACATTTAAAATTGAAAATTTTAAACTGGTATCATGGGAGGACTTGAGTAATGATATCATCTGATATTTTCCAAGGTATGTATGCTGGCAATGGCGGAGCCACATGCATGCATATTTAGTGAAAAAATATTAAAGGCTTTAAATTAAGAAGATTGCAGTCATTTGCTCCCCCTGAAAGATGCTATTTTCTCGGAGGGGAACTTTTGGTTCTTGGGTACATATGTACCCTATATGCAAATTTTTTTTAGTAATTTAACAAAAAGTCAAAATTTTCTAAAAATATTTTTGATAAAAACTTGACCTTCCATTGTACTAGTGAGAAAAGTGACAAAAACATAAAATTCCTCCTTGACTTCTTTTCAAAAAAGACAAATTTCCGGTCAAAATAGCATGAATAGTGACCTATAGTAGCAAATAAATTTTGTCTTTTTCACTATGAAGTCAACGTAGTTTTCTTTTTTCTGAAAATGTGTATACTAGTGCGCAAGTAAGTCAACTTTATTCTAAAAATAGTTTCTTAACTATTTTGACTTTTTGTTTAACTATTAAAAATAAATCCCCATATAGGATACATATGTACCCAGGAACCATTTGGTATTTGCCCTATTTTCTCCCCCTTGCCTCATTCTACGCTAGCTCCGCTACTGTGCAGGCACGTGCATGTGTACGTGTGTTCGTGTGAGATATATTGCGCCAGAATGTATTGTTGATGCGATGTACTCCCTTCGTAAACTAGTAAACTAATATAAAAGTGTTTAAATCATTACTTTAGTAATCTAAACGCTCTTATATTAGTTTATAGAGGGAGTATGGTTTATTTTATGAGCGTAGTAATGCTGCTTTGATGTATACCATATTGTTGGTAGATGTGTTAGCTTGCAAGATTATTTGCGTTGTCTAGCCGCATCTAACAACGAAAAGTAGTTTGAAGATGATTTTGAAATAAAACACAAATACCAATTAACATTGGAAAAAGATCTTAAGAGAAAATTTCAAGGTATAGCCGCTCTACTCCAAAGGAAATCATTTTTTTGCAACGCCTATTAGTTTTCAATCCAAATTCATAGAATCTCGGAGTTGTTGTTGTTGCATGTATCGACAAAGTGCAAGTTTAGTGTTATGCCTATGCAAATTTTGCATTGGCGTCACAATTTTATTCAAGTTTGTGGTAAATTGTGTCCTTTTATTTTAAAATTGAATTTTTGATCTTGTAATATATCCCCGATACTCAATCCTAACGAATATAAATTACCTCAGTTTTAGAATGTTTTGTTAAAGAAACTCAATATCTCTTATGTTCTTTCAAACATAGTTAAAGTTTCATATCTTTATACTTAAATAGTTGCTTCTTATTTTCTTGTTTTTTCTGTCCACTTAATAGTCTGAAGAAGCACTAAGGGCCTATTTGGGACTGCTCCGCTCCCTAAAATTCAGCTATGCTCTAAAAAATGCAAATTAAACAGGGTAGGTCGATGATATGCCACTCCGCAAAACTAGAATCTCTGATACAACTCTCTGTTTTTTGTGAAGCTCTTTTGGGGGTGCTCCAAAAACTCTAGAATCTAGAGTTGGGGAGAAATTACCACCACTGTCACCAGTAAGTGGATACCCCTTTTTTTCTTCCTACGTCATCCAATCAAATATATTTTTTTCACCAAATTTCTCATTCTTAAAGATGGAGCTAGCTGGAAGCAAAACACGATAAACTTCTCTTTGGTGGAGCTGCAACTCTTGCGTGGAACTGCTCCAAAGTAGATTTGACTGAGTGAAACTGATTTTGGTTGAGCGGACCAGTCCCAAACAAGCCCTAAGCATGGATAAGTAGGATAAAGTTAGCAAATAATTGTATGCAAGATATCAACCAATAATTGCTCACGCGTAGGAGAAAACCCCGAAAAATACATCAGATGCAAATGTAAAGCCATGTAAAAAGGTAACTTGGGTATACAGATGTTTCATATAACTTAGCGATAGACAAATGGAATATTGCAAAATGAGCTCAATTCTGCTGGGCCCCTTTAGGAAAACAAATAATATAGAAGCACATTTTATAGTTTCAAAATATATATCACTCTTGACGGTTTGGTGTGTGTTTTCGTGAAGTATTCTGTCTATTTCAGTGCTATTTTAAAAGATAAATACATGCATATATAACAGATGTATTTTTCACTATTATGGTTCAACATTCTTTTTGTGAGTGCGAAGCCCACAAATGAAATTATCTAGCAACTAAGACTTGAGTGTGGATTTCTTGCCCTCGGTTTTGCAAAATTCAAAAATAAGGTTTTTAAGGTTAAAAGAAATTATGTAAAAACATACACACATACCTAATGAACTACACACAAGTAAAATTCAAAAATATATGATGTCTAAACTACATTCCTGAAAATTTTCATGGTGAAATACTTTGGCGTGCGATACACACACAAAAATCACTGACTTTTTAGCGAGCAGCACATGATTTTTTTTGTTCGCACCAAAATTTACTACATCTAAGAATTTGCAGGAACGCAGTACAAATACCTAGGTATATTTGTTTTCGGATTTTTTTAACACTTTGAAATATGATTTCTGATTTTTTTTAAATCTATGCTCGATGGAGCTTGGGATCCGGAAGGCATTACCGATAAAACTAACAGATATTTAGATCTCACCTATATGTACGAGTAGAATCTTTTTTAAAAAATTAGAACTTTGAAATATGCTTTTGAAATAGCGGGACCTAATAGACCCCCTAAGCAAAACAACCATTCTTAGACAACCTCCATTCTAGTATAAGCTACAGAAAGAGAAGAGTTTTCCCCTCAAAAAAAGATTAAGAAAAGATAGAGAAGAGTTTGACGCGTACACGGCTAAGTCGGCAACAAGCTAACCAACAAGAACATATATTTCCTAAAAACAGGGAACATCAAACAAATGAGGAACTAACAATTCATGCTCTACTTGCTTCTCCATTGAGTGAAGAATGCCTGCCCTCTTGAATGCATCAATGGATCCAGATGCAAAAGGATGGGGCATGGCATGGCCACTCCAGCTAGTGCTCTGCTAGGTGAGTAGCATTTACACTTCCCCCATGCATGTCCTCCACTGCGTGATAAGGAAAAACATTTCGAATAAATAAATACTCCAGTACTCTACTGTAATAAATAAACAACTCCCAACTACACTGCCATTTCATATCATACGTATCAGTCATACAGTATCATTGTTCACCTTTCCATCTCCTATATAAGCACGCACCTCACACGCTTCTTCTCCACCCATCCAAGCCGCACCCACTAGCTCCCAGCTGCAGCAAGCAAGCGAAGCTCGTGCGTGTGCAAGCGAGCGAGCTCAGAAACCACCCTACAAAGCTCCGGCTGAGCCACCCGACCGGCCGGCGACGATGCCGATGCTCATCCCCGACGACGTTCGCGCCAAGGCGGAGATCTACACCGGCGACGCGGCGGGGCAGGAGAAGACGCGGCTGATGCTGGCGGAGACGGAGCTCCCCAGCGGCCTCCTGCCGCTCAAGGACATCATCGAGTGCGGGTACGTGGAGGAGACTGGCTTCGTGTGGCTCAAGCAGAAGAAGCGGGTGGACCACTACTTCGCCAAGGCCGGCCGCCATGTCTCCTACGCCACCGAGGTCTCCGCCATCGCCGAGAAGGGCCGCCTGAAGAAGATCTCCGGCGTCAAGGCCAAGGAGATGCTCATCTGGGTCAACCTCCACGAGATCTGCGTCGACGACCCGCCCACCGGCAAGCTCCACTGCAAGGCCATCGGCGGCCTCTCCCGCAGCTTCCCCGTGGAGGCATTCGAGGCCACCGACGCCCTGCCCGTGCCCGTCACCGGACGTCTCAAGAAGAAGACAGAGAAGGAGAGCGCCGACCAGAAAGACGAGAAGAAGAAGGAGGAGGAGGCAGAGAAGCCCAAGGGGGCCGCCGTCGCCCCCGCCCCCGCCGCCGTCGACGAGATCGGTCAGAAAATGAAGGAGATGAACACGGAGGCACCGGTGCAGGCGGAGGCGGTAGCAGCCAAGAACTGAACGGCGACGGCGGCACGTCATGATCGGTTACCCAGTCATAAATTTGTGTCAGAATAACGCATTGCATTAGCATGTCATCAACCATCCACACATATGTATCACCTGATCCATCGATGAGAGTTCAGTTCGACAACGATGTAATTTGCCTTTTTCTGGTTTTAATGTGATGAAATTTAATGGATGTCATTGCCATGAGCTGGCGCTACCCGATCGATCGATGGTACTACTACTGCTACGCACTGCCTTCGTTAATTTAGGTACTCGTACTTTATCTGAGGTGGCAGGAAGCAAGCAAATGGGTGAGTAAATTGGGGGAGCACTAGTGGTCACCTCATCTCTGTTTCTCTTCTTCTGGGTGAGCATTGAATCCCATGTGTTCCTCTTCAATTTGGTGGGATCTTGGATTAGATTCCGCTACCTTCCACGGCATTCTTCGCCGCTTGCTTAGTTGAGTACCCCGCCGTTCGAAAATACTTGTCCAAAAATGAATGTATTTAGATGCACGTTTAATTGAATACTCTTTTTATTCGAAAATACTTGTTTAAGAAATGAATGTATTTAGATGTATTTTAGTTTTAGATATGCATTTATATCCATTTTTATGACAAGGATTTCTGGACAGAAGAAGTACTATTTTAACCATATAATAGCGTTTTTGACACTAACGTACCTGGCTGAGTAGATGCAGGGTAAAAACCAAGCTGAGCAGATGCAAGGTAAAAATCATATTGTGCACATGGCACATGGTTTGTTAAGCTGCAATGTAGGTTTGTGCACTAGGGAAACAATTTTTGCCTCAAGATTGGTGACCTGCATTGGCTGGGCTGATGCACTAAACGGTGTTTGGTTGCATACACTGAACATGATTAAGAGTTAACACCCATACATTTGACACGGAGTTACACTAGAGTATCTCGACCATTGCGGTGGCCGCACATCGCATCCTACATGATCAGCACGGAGTCACAGACAAGCGATCATGTCAGCGGCGTGGTGAAGCAGTTGCTAGCATCGACGGCGCGAGGAAAGTCCAGGAGGAGGGACGAGCATGTTGCGGTCCTACGTGACCAGCACGGAGTCACACCGTCAAGCAGTTGCTAGCGTCGACAGCGCGAGGAAAGTCCAGGAGGAGCGACGAGGATGCCGCGGTCCTACGTGACCAGCACGAAGTCACAGGCAGGCGATACCGTCAGCGGCGTGGCGAAGCAGTTGCTAGTGTCGACGGTGCAAGGAAAGTCCACGAGGAGGGACAAGGAATAGGGTGTCGAGGCAGAGGACGACGAGGAGAAATGTATACAATCTACAAAACACGGCAAAATGCGTACAACTACAAACAACGGATGTGAGAACCTATAGAAATGCACCGCCGTGCATGGTTGTAGAAAAAATGACCTTTTTCACAACATATGTATAGCAAATTAGCAATATGTGGTTTTATTGCTTATCCTGACACGTGCAAGAACAAGGAGTAAAGTATTTTTTGACGGGACAAAGAGCGACCAGTTTATAAAGAAAATCAGACAAAAACTATATAACTCACACGCAATCCGACCAGTTTATAAAGGGATCCAGACAAAAACCCAACAACTCTCACACTATCCGACGATAATCTAAACAAATCATCCACACCTATCATATGATTTCCATCCAGAATGATCTTGAGTAAGAACTTCGACAGTGGCTTTAAGAAGAAAACAACACCCAAGGAACGCCATCGTCCCGCGTCGACTCCCGTTGACTACAAATGATAGAGGCGAAGGTGTCTCGATGTTTCGATAAGATAGCTATCACTTTTTGTGGGAGTCGACCTTAGCGATCCGACTACGAACCTGCGAGGACGTCGCGCTTTAGCAATCGCTAAACCAACTTCGAGAGGTTATTAACCACGTCGGAGCATGATCAACCTGACCACAAAGGTCTATTTTCTGCAAGCAAACGAAGAATAAGTAAGAAACTAAGATTACAATCTGGATATTGCGAATATAAGATGAAAGCTTTATTGATCAATGTGAGGTTCTGTGATGCCTTGGTCTGGTCGTTGAACACAAACGAAGTACGCGAAGTTGCAGCTATGGCGAACTCTTAATCTAAACAAAACCCAAAGTCTAAATGACGCCC